AACGCCAGGCGGTAGGCGTGCTCGCCGAAATGTGGGACAACCGTATTCGTGCGCAGGAAGCGACGCAATTATGGATACGCGAGGTTTTGGCCAAGCACCAAGCCAGCGCGCGCAACTCATTCTCGGTTCCGAATAAATACTGCTGTTCGCCGTTTCGACTCCAACGACGGTCGAAGAAGACAATCGCCGATGTTTCCGATGGTCGACTATAATCGACGAACAGATTTTCTTTGCCAATCGATACTTTTACGAATAGCCAAGTGTGTCGGAAGAGTAGAGACTTTGTTTAAAAAAAGGGTCGAACGTCAAGGGTGTTCTTGTGCGTTTCGAGTCAGAAATTCTGACACGGTTCTTCGGAACTGTATCGACTTTCGTCTAGACGTGTAGAATATAGATATTTACGAGCTACACAACGCGTCATTATTCATACACCCTGTACCGCATCCTGGCCTTAATAAATCTGATCTTACGGTTGGTACCAAATTTACCGTTTAAAAGTTCGAAGAAGGCCTCTATAGTTACGAAAGATTCGGGTACGTCGCAACGACGTCGAATTTATCGCGAATAAATATTGGAGGGCGTAGAGAGGTTTTCGACAGTTTGACGAAAGAAAAAAAGAAGTTAAAGAACCGAGTAATTCACGAGCGAGCACTCGAGAAACGCGACCCTAATATTCAACCCCGCTGAACGGTGAAGTTGATCCAGTAAATTTGCGCGTCCGTTTCGTAGATGCGGCTGGCCCAGTTTGCACCGGCTACGAGATGGACGGGGGCAGCGTAGGGGGTTGGGGAAAGGGCGTGATATCTGTGTCACCGCACAAGCGCCATGGCTGCCAACGAACGCGACTCGCGGCACCGTTCTTGGCCCGCTCGCGATCCGCGGGGATCCACGTACCACGGAAATCTCGTCTATCGATCCCGAAACTCCCGTCCTCGGTTTAGCCCTATTTCGCTCGTTGGTTCCCGACTGGTCGGTCCGTTGTTCTTCCGTGCTCGCGAATCTTCCTTTCCTTTTTCCCATTGCTTACCCGTTACGGTAAAGTCTCCTTTAAACGCACAAGCACGGGACTGAACTTGTGCGTCCATCGTAGAGTTCGTATATTTTCTGATGTCTGATGTTCGGATTATATTAGGTAGACCGGAAAGTAACGTCGTTTCTTTTACATTAAATTCAAACTTTTCAATAAATTTCTATCTTTAACTCGTTATATAATCGCCCTTATCGTCGGCAGCCTTTCGTCAAGTAGCGTGCGAATTTTCAATGTCAGAAAAATCAACGAGCTGATAAATGATAAACAAGTACTTAAGATGGCGAAAACGACATTACTTTCCAGTCCATCTAATATCAGGTTGTCTCGAAAGTTTCTCGTTTAGATAAACAGACAACCTAATCGTTTAGGTGTTAATGTCGTAACAGTAATGGAGCAAAATAAATCGTATGCAATTCAATAACGTGACATTAGACATAACATATCGCGTACGTATTACCTATTAATGAAATGGAAGAAACTTTCGGGACAACCTAATATTATTATATCCGCGGATACACTGCGCGTACGGGTTACGAGTGAATGCAGTAAAGTCGGGACCGTGTTGGTATATTTTCTGTTTGCCGACGAGCTTCGAACGTAAAGAAGGACAGCGAATAAAGAAGAGGACGGAACGAAAACACCGGGGTACGTCGGTGAGACAATAAAAGTTTTAACGTTGCAGTAGCATTGTTTCACCGATCCCGGATCATGTTACACTGCTCGGCGATCGAAGTCCTGCGACCCCTCAAGGGGTATGCCGAGCATACTATGCCCTCCCAGAGGTGGGGATGGTTTCACTACATTCGAGGAGACTTTACCGTATTCTTTTTCCCGTTTCGCCCACTGTTCTAACCGAAGGATACGAAAGATCACGGTGTCCACCTTCCGCGATGGCGTTCGACGAGCGGTTCCTGCTGGAGGCGAAATTTGGCTCGGGATCCGTTCTCGATGGATCCCTCGAAATCCCTTTCCTCTCTCTCTCTCTCTCTCTGGCTCTTTCCGATCGCTCCCTCGACCCTGCCGCGATAACTTGCTCTCTAATGGTGCGCTTACGTAAGAAAGACGTATATACCTACCTACCTACCTACCTACCTATCTACCTACCTACCTACCAACCCACCTCCTGGCTATTCAAGGGATCAAGGCAAACCGGTAGGTAGGCAGGCGGGCAGGCAGGCAGACCGAGGTGGCAACCGGAGAGCAGGCAAACTAGGATGCAGGTAGGTAAGTGGGTAGGATGGGCACATGTCGCGCGCATGCCCTCGGATAAACCTGCCAAACGGATAGACCGTGCAACAACGGAAACCTCCGCTCCACCTCCGCGCTCGCTTCTTCTCTCGCTTCTTCTCCCTACCATCGTCTCTCTCTTTCCGCCCCTCCTCGTTCGAGCAGTTCTGACCAGAATTCGTTCGAGAGGATCGCTGAAAAATAGAACGAATAGCGCGTTAAGCCACGTTCGACCGACCGAGACGATCGAAGTCCTCGCGTCCTCGAATTTTCGCGTGCCTCGGGGCACTCGCGCGATACGCGAGGCACTCGTCGTGGCTTCGATCGCCTCGGTTCTCTCTCGTCGTCGGACAAAGATTATGGAAGTCTCTATCGTACCCGTAGATTTCAAGAGGCGGCGAGTTTAGGTACCAGCCTCGACTTTATTTCGTTTCATTCCGACGCTCACGGCGATCCGGCGCATCCTCCTCTCCCTCTGCCCTCCGCGGTTCAGTTTGAAAAAGCCTGTCCAGCTCGCGCGACGTAATCGCGCTGTTATGGCGCGCGTTACGTAACCGGACTCGGCTTCGAGGATAACGAGCGATCGCGGAGAGCGAGAGCTGGAGAAGTAATTGACGGACAGGTGAAGACAAGGCTCGCGGAGGTGTCGAGAAGATCTCTCGATAGCGGTAATCGAGTTGGAGTTTTTCTTCCTTCGCGATGCCAAAGTATTTCCACGAACGTTGAATAATCGAACGTTTCCATGTGGTCCCAAATGTAGGTTCTAGATGCCCGGTAATAGTTTAGTATACGACCTTTCCATCTGAAAATGGATGGTTCGAGAGCTGTCAGGCTGTTCGGTTGAAACGTGTCGGTGCATAGTCATGCATAAACCACGCGTGACGTACGTCTAATGGTACATCTTTCAATAATTCATACGATCGACGTAAAATCGACGTGTTGATCTCCCATAAAAAAAAAAAAAAAAAAAAGAAGCAAGAATTACCGAACGTCGTGTACAAACTAGACTAATTCGGTGTTGGATGAAAAATAGTTGAACGTATCGATTCGCGCTTTTAGATGCTCCTAGGCGTTGTAAATCGATGCCAACCGAGGCTTCCGGGTGTTCGCTGCGTTCCTCGAGTAAGATGTGCGCGCGAAAGCGTCGAGTTTACGGTGTCGAGAGGTCGGACGGTAATTAGGCCAGTGAAACGGGTCGATCGATTCCGCCCCGAAAAAGCTTCTGCTCCAAAAACCTATTTAATCCCCCGACACACAAAGGAGCCTCTCGCTGTAGTCGCGATGAATCACTCTCTTTGTATTCTCTTTGTATTCTTCTCGACTATTTGTCGCGCGCGTTTGAATTCCATAGCCGTTCGTCGTATGCAACTTACTCGTCCCTTGGTCGTTGCACTTCCGTCAATGATTGTTCCCGTATCTCTAATGCGATCTTGCATAAACGAACGTAAATGGGTCGGAATGTTCTTTCCGAGAAAAATACTGCCCCTGGGACGAGCGAACGTTTTAGGCGACATCGTCGCCGAGGCTTTGTTATCGCTCAACGATAAAAGTAACGATGATTGCGCGATACCGCGAATTGCGGGTAGTAAACGACAGCGAGTACGGTTCGTGGCTTCGTAACGGATGATCGCGCTGGACGTTAGAGAACTGGTTAGAGAACTGGTTAGAGAACTGGTTAGAGAACTGGTTAGAGAATTGGTTAGAGGACTGGCGACTGTAGGATTGGCTCGATAGAAAATGATGAGCAATATTTCGGCTATGCTTGAAAACTTTAGTCCAATGTTCGTTCTGCGTAAGCGTTTCGACTTGAACGCGGTACACCGTGCCGCGTTGCTTTATCGCGTTTTGTCATTTTGTCGTTTATCATTTATGATCCGAGGCCTGTTAACGTTGACTTGGAGGCTAGGTTGCATACACGCGAGTAGGATAAACAGGCTTATCGCGTGCGTTTGTAAACGGCGGATGCGGTGGGGCGACGGAAAGCGAAAGATCTTCTTCCCGATCGGTCGGCGATGAGCGGAGCTGGTGGCCCTGACGTGGTTGCGCAATTTCCGGGAAGAAGCGATCAGCTCTCTGAGCGGGTCCGATCCTTCCTAAAGGAGTATCGGCGTTCGTCCTTGAAGCGCCCTTGGCGCTGGGTGTGGAAAGCTCGCGTTTGGCGAGGGCAGGGCGTGGTCTAACACGCACCCGGTGACCTGCTGGCCAGCAAAGCGGCGGCCATCTTTGAGCGGATTGGATGCCTCGGGCGTGCTGCGAGGGTGAAAGTTGGGGGTGGGTTTTCGGCGAGGGCAGAGACGTGCAACTACGCGCCGTTGAGTCCTCTCGGATGGCTCCGCTGTCAAAGGAGACGCCCCTCACCCACGCCTCGGAAATCTTTTCTTTTCTTCGTTTGCTCGCACGCTACTCCGCCGACTCTTCACTTTCGTTTTCCTTCCCTTTCCTCGACGCCTTCGACGCCCTTTGCTCTCGTCGCCGACGCTTCGCGAACGTCCGACTCTCTCGGAAAATTCCCTCGATCTCGCATCGATCACCCACGGATTCTATCGCTTTCGTTTCTCGCACTTCTCGACGTTTTCGAGCGTATCCACGAACGCGTGCACGTTGGCTCGATGAGGAGTGAATTTATCGAGAAACTATGAAATTTGCGATATCAGATTTTCTCGGTTTGTTTTTCTCGGACTCCTGTCCGGGAAATATTACTCTGGAACAGCTACTTAATCATCAAGCCACGCGCCGGGGTTACCTTTTCGATGTAACGTCGAAACCTGTGGCATTCACGCTGGTTGCGAAGGCGCGATCCTTGTCCCATGCCTCGACTAAACGACGAAAGAAAGAAGACGGGTCATCGGGAATCTCGCATACGTGTGGGATTAGAAACGTTGGGAGGGTCGAAAGTTTTACAAGATATGGGGGGCCTCGGTCGATTTTCGTGAAACTTTATGAAGTGGCAGTAGGAATAGCGCAGTCGAAGCCCCGTCGCTTTTTGTTCTCTTTCGCTTCTTCAAGGCCTGGTTGCCCGGTCTGCCCCACCGCTGGATTCTCGTTCTTATATCACATCACGGTTTCATTCTCCCTCCCCATCATCCCTCCACGCCCCGCGATTTTTCTACGCCCAGGTCTCGGATCCGTTCTCTCTTCGCCATTATTCGGTTCTCCGTCGCTCCCGTTTGTTCTTCAGCCTCCCCCGATCTGTCTCTAGCGATCGCCATTAGATTCCCTTACTTTTCCCGATTCCCGGACTTTCTCCTTCCCGCGAGCTTTTTCGATGATATCGTTCCGAAAAGGATCAGAAAATCTCAGCTACAGAGGATTAACCCTTTGCGCTCGAGGCCTTCTTTTCTGGTATCTATCAGCAACTCGAGATGTGTAATGAGGTCACCTTTACCTCGCCGACAATCATTTTATCGACACTTGAAGCTCCAAAAAGAAATGAAACCTAAAGAAACATTAGGTATCGTAGATTCGTTGCGTGAAACCTAATGGCGACTGAGAGTCACCTCTCGACTGCAAAGGGTTAGAAATTTCTAGACTCGTGGTACCAACGATTTCATCGCTGTTAGATTTGCTGCGTGAAACCTAATGGCGACTGAGAGTCACCTCTCGACTGCAAAGGGTTAGAAATTTTTAGACTCGTGATAACAACGATTTCTTCGCTGATAGATTTGCTGCGTGAAACCTAATGGCGACTGAGAGTCACCTCTCGACTGCAAAGGGTTAGAAATTTCTAGACTCGTGGTACCAACGATTTCTTCGCTGATAGATTTGCTGCGCGAAACCTAATGGCGACTGAGAGTCACCTGTCGACCGCAAAGGGTTAGAAATTTCTAGACTCGTGGTAACAACGATTTCATTTCATTCACTCGTAACTCGTTCGCGTCGACTCGAAGCGTTTCGAACCCATCGCTCTAGCCGTGTGTCTCTTCCTCTTCGCGCTCGACTCCTCTCCTCTCCGCTCCCCGAACCGGCGCTCGCAACCCTCCCACCCCGCGCCGTACCCTCGCGATGATCCACGATCTTTACGGATACCCCTCACGCCCCGCCGCCGAGCCGTTTCGCAATGATGTCATCCGCAACATTGGCGCAGACACGGACAAATTTTCGAGTCGCGTTCGCGGCAACTCGAATTCCGTGTAGACGTAAATACCTGAAACTTCGGAAACGAAGAGAACTCACATTCGAGGATGACGTTTGCATTAATCGTGAAAAAAGTAATACTTTCGTGGGTGTTTTTCTGGTCAGGCTATCAAGTACGAGAATTATTCGCGACTACCGAGATACGATACGGAACGCGCGCATACGTGTTCGCGTGATAACGTACAATGCAAATGGCACGACACGGACGCCATGGTCGTTCTGCGCTAGAGATGGGCATCGAAGAGTGCTGCGGGACACGCGCTTGGGAAACTACGGTGAAATTTCATTTTATTCTGTTCTGTAGACGTAGCGAGGATAATATTTATCGCAATTTTTCGTCGACGTGTTTATCGTAGCTCTCGTTTTGCGTCGGAACAACATCGAAGTCGATACGCAGAGACACGTTAAATCTTACCGCAAATAGATGAACGTACGTGTAACGAAGTTTAAAGTAAAAGGTTTGTACGACTCGGGAATGTATTTTTTTTTTTTTTTTGTTCTCAATTCTGAAGGAATATTTGATTATCTCGGACGAGAGAGATCGGAAGCGACTCTTCTCGGACTCAGGTACCAACACAGGACGCGACGAGCCATGGCGAGCAGATTCGAGGCCAACGAGTAAAATTAGACAGCGCGTGGATGGAATTCGAGCCAATCGAGCAACCCCAAATGGAAATGGAAACGCTTCGATTACTGTACAGACAAAAGATGGCCGCAATGCGACGCCTTCTATAAAATGGCGGTTGTTGACCACCCGCCGCCAAGCAGGCGTGTTTTCACGGATTTTACCCAAGGCTCGGAACAATCCGCTGCTCCCTTTACGGTCCTTCGGTCTCGAACGACCGAGTCCTACCGACGGACCGAGATTTTTAGACCAAGTTCGCACGACTCCCCGAAAGTATCTAAACTCACGTAAATTCTTCCGAAGTTGTCGTTGTCGCACGTTTACAACTAAACGTGTACCTTTTAACGAAAAGACGAAAAAAGGATCCTGTTACCGAATAATTCGCAGATCGTATCAACGACGACGGACAGCGAAGACGAGGCCCATAGTATCGAAAGAAGAAACAAATCTGGGAATATTACGAGACCGGTGCAAAGTATCGAAACTACAATCTCGATAGCGGTGCGTACGTACAAAGTGGCACAAGGCAAGCCAGTCCCACTTCCCTTTCCTCCTTGCGCGTGTACGTGTGCACACAGTATATCTTATTCCATCATCGTGTCTCCTACTTCACCATTCTTCCAAAGGAGTGGTAACTTTCCAAACTTCTCTGTTCTATGTCTCCTTTACCGTTCGACTCTCCTCTAATCCGACATACGTACGCGTGCGTATCCCAAAACATGGTTCGGACAGAAATATTAATCTCCTCTTTAACGATGCTCGACTAACGGAACGTGTGTTCGACGTAAACGTGTAATTCGAAAATCTCGAGCGGGACGGCTTGTTTTTTTTCTATCGTTTGCTTGTTTTCAGACAGTAGTAATTTACCAGAACGCAAGACAAACGTCTCGATCCTTCTCCGACGTCGTGTCTCCCGGTTCGCGCCGGTTGTACAAGTCACGTACAAGGAACGTGCACGTTTTATTTACGAAAAACGACGGGATTCTCGATGCCTCCGTTCGTCGTTTCTAAAACTCATCGACGCCGACGCGTGTTCATTGAACGTACCTTTACAGGGTTTTGCGTTTAGAACACCCGTCGGACGATCGTTTCGCAACCCGTTTCGACGTTGCGATATTTACATGCAAGCGTGAGCTCGAAATTCAGAATAATCAAACAGATTCGACATACGTCGCGAACGTGTCGATTTTGCGACGGCCGGTCTGGGTGTAATTGCTGAAGCGGTAAAAAGAAAAAAAAGAAAAGAAAAAGGCTCCTGGGCACTTGTTACATGGAAAACGACAACGGACTGCTTTATTAAGAGAGAGAGAGAGAGAAGAAAAAAAAAATCTAGGCACGTAATCGCGGCAACGATTCGCTACACGGTACGAGGCCGACGGTATTTGCCAAGTTACGAAAGTAAGCGGCTTTAGAAAGTATAGAAGGCTCTCGAGGTGAACGGCGCTCTAACGGCGGGGATTCTTGCACGGCAATTACAAAGTGGCTTTGCAACAACGATCGAGACCGACCACTACTCGCTCGCCGACTACGTAAGACCAGGCCTGCTGTTCCGACGTAGCAGGTGCACCTTCGTTCGATTTACGACATTCGTCGGGCTCGACTACTAAAAAGGGAACACACCGTACCGATTGCGACGAGCCGCGATGGTCTTTGGTAACATTCGACGGACACTCGAAAACGCGAAAATGCTACTATGGTCACTTTCGAAATAGTGCTAATCGAAACGACAAGAAATAACGTCCTCTTGAACCCTCTTCTTCTTTTCCTCCTCCTCCTCCTCCTCCTCCTGCTCCTCTATATTTCGAATCAACGCGATTTATTTCGGGAATGAAATTTTCCGGTCGACGGGACGCACACAGTAATTTACGCTTCGAACGAGCGGAAAAGTAATTTACGTATGGACGCACGGCTGCGCGGCCCTGTACGCGCAACTGACAATGAGAAAAGAGAGAACAACGATCGAGGCGGGTGACGATGCTCGAAGAACGGTCAGTACTCGCGCAGTGTTCTCCGTGATCCCAGAGCTTTTTAACATGGTACATTTACAGCTGGGGGAACACGGTTTTCACTGCTGAGCCCGTGGTATTGCATACACGATAACGAATTATTGCATGTAGTTTTCCGCGTACGCAAGGCTATCTTTCGATGCGTGCTTTCGTTCTAAAGACCCCAAAGAAAGAAAGGAACAAAAATATCGTGGATTCTTCTGGAAAGCTGGGCCGTGTTCGATCGACGTCAAACGATGTGCCACGGGGCCGATAGGAGAGAGAAAAAGACTGACTGTCGTTGCACAGAGCCAAGCCAGTTTCTCACCCCCACTGACCTAGCGACCGAGAAAAAGATCGAGGCGTCGTTGTACGTTGGTGAAACGGCCGACGAGCCATGGAGCCAACTTAGAGAAAGAAAAAAATTAAATGTTCTTGCTGTATCTTCTGCACTCCCGCCGTTGTTCGTATCCTCCGTCAACTGCCGTAACAAACGTTAGATCACACACTGGCCCAGCGAGAGCGGAGCCACGGTTTGATCACGTGATGATTGGGTTGCGTCACAGTTGCCCCTCTCTCCACTCAACCGACGAACGAACCAACGACGGGACCGCCATCTTTACCCACTGAGAGACCAGAGAAACACGGCCACGAAACATCGCGATGTACGACCAACGTTCTCTTTCTTTTTCATCTTTAACCGCACGAAATAGATAGACAGACCACCTTCGATTCGCGGGATCGACGTTCTTCTAACCGTTCGAATCTTCTCGGTATTCGACGCGTGTCTTTCTATCTACGATTAGTTGCTAAAAAAAGATCCTTGTGTGCCGCGCTGGCACTTATCGCGGCTCACCGTACACGCCGTGAGTCAGGAACGATAGAGCACGCGAGCGCCGAAATCCATTCGAACGATCGTTGCACGTAACTACATTCGTGGTTACGATACAAATATCGATAAATAAAATTCGGAACATATTCGCGATACCGAAGAATGTAATTTAATTTGTCGAGAAAAGCTAACGAAATATGTTCGATAAACTACGATCTGTATGGACTTCCTGCTCGAATGCACCGAAAACGTTCACTCAACATTACCGCGCGATATCTCGATACCGAATCCTACGAGAGACCGATCACTTGTGCAAAGAGAACCTCGTAAAGAAACGAGAGAGAGAGAAAAAAAAAAAAAAGAAAAACGCCCGATGAATGGCACTCCAAGGCGACCGCATGGTTCCACGGTCGACGATACGGAATTCGGTGGTCGTTTCCGGTTGCGTTTGGTGTTCAAGCCCACGCCACGACGACACAGTAAAAATTCGAAAGACTGTTTCGCGAATACACGATCCCGTGGGTCTCTGCGATTTCGACAACGACAAGGCGGCACAGAACGCGGCTGAATCGGAACTGAACGAAATCGAGACTCGGAGGAACGGTCGAGATAGCGTTAACACCGCGATATGGTGTTCGAGAGAGATTCTGGCGAGCGAACTCTCTCCTCGGCTTCGTGAAACTGCCGGTGAGAGAGGAGACTCGAGAGTGTGAAACACGACCGACTCCGAAGGCGAGCAGCGACGAACGAGGATGCGCTCGAGCGCGTAGCCTGTGCCGCACTCTCAGTCCATCCCCACTACTTGCTACGGTCGTACATCCGGTGGTAACAGTGGCGCGCATTCGCGAGGACTTCTGCTCGCTGATTGGTGCACACCCGTTGCTACTTGGCCCCCGATTGGCCGATTCCACACAACGAATTCCCGCGACGTTCACTATCCGCGGGACACGCACAGGCGCGCGCGCGACCACATGCACACAGCACATGCACACGTGTCTCGATCTCACACGCAAACGATGCTCGCGCGAGGACACCGCGTACACACGTTTCCCTACGAGCGTATGTATACGCGCACATACGAACGCACACACGTGCATGTATGGCCGGGGTACTCGCGAGTGCTTTTCTGCGCGCGCTGTACATGCCATCGCGACGTATTTTGCGTGTATGTGCCTATGTGTCGGAAGATTCCACACTCCCGCGCCTTGGTACGGTCGTATGACGGTCGAACAGGAACTGGTCGCAACCCGCGCGGAAACGCGCTACTTATGCTGCCGGTGGGAAGAAAACCGACGAATCAAGGCAGCCTTTATACCCGCCGCCTTTAGATTCGATGCTCTATGGGTCCAAGGGCCATCGTGTGGTAGTGTATATATACACGGTTCTCGTGTGCGAACACGAGGTATGGATGCCAGCCAACCGCCCCTCTGCTGCTATGCGCAAAACTATGATAAATATAACCTATGTATGGTGATTCTTATAAAGCGAGCAATGCAATTATTAGGCGACGTTTTGGAATTCACGTCGAGAAACTGCATGATTCGGATAGTATTTTTCTTTAATTGGAACATTGTTACCGACATAGACAAGAAAGAAGTGCGAGGCAAGTCGTATTTCATTGTTTAATTTTAAAGCGAAACACAGGTTAAAATAAAGTAGACCATTTTTTCAAGGTTGCAACGCTTGGTTCGACTGTTTCTATAATTTCAGCTTTTAAAGTGCTTCAACCTGTATAAATAATCTTGTATGTCGCTTTAATCATCCTGTACAAGTTCCGCATTGGTTTATCCGTTTCGTAAGTGTCTAGTCGATAAAGAACCGCAGCAAAAGTAATCGGGCTACCACTGCAACTACTACTTCCGTTGAGTTTGCCGTCGAACCTTTGACCCATTTTTCTATCGATTCCTCCAAGTTTCGCATATAGGGCGCCGCGGTGGCCTCCGGCTATCAAAATTCACTATACTTCGGATATTCAAGCTTCCGCGGTGACCTGGTATCGAAACAATGAATACGATTCACCGTCGCGTCGCATTATACTTTCGTTCCCCCTCCGTTTCTCTCGAAATTTCTGGCGAAGCTCCATCGTATTGTAGATCAAATTTAATTAATTATCGACGTTACGTAACGAACCACGTTCTCCGAAATCGTTGGAAACGATTCGCGACGCGGGGACTCGTTTCTTCGTAGTTCGAGACTCGAGATTCCAAGAACCGCGACAAACGTAAATACGATATAAACTTACCATTGTCACGAAGGGTAGACATTGTACGAGAATACGCGAAATGTTGACCATGTTCGAAGAAGAGCAGATCGACGTTACGGGCGATCGAACGAGAACGAAAGATGGAGAAAAAACGCAGGAACCGAAACGATCGACTCGATCCAAGCATTAAACGCAAAAGAACGGTGCTGCGCGTATAGCGGTTAGTCGATTAACGAAGCTCGCGTACAAGGAGGGTAAAGGGGAAAGGGGAAAGGGTCGGCACGGTAGAACATTGGGACCCGACTCGGTCGTCCTATTTCCACGCTCGGGAACGTTCGCGCGGAGAGCCGATCGCGCACGAAGCAATGGAGATATAAGTAGGTCGTTTGGAGCCGCACGTGTCGTCCTTGACTCACATAGCGTGGCGCGCAGGCGCTCGCCGTTGCCGCATTGCTGGTCGCTAGGGCTCTTTCTTTGTTCCCTCTTCTCGTGTGTATGCGACATATCGCGTATGCTCGCTCGCGCGCGCCAGCGCGCACGCACACCGTGCATCAACGAACACGGACAAATAGCAAACGAGAGCACAAAAATCTCGTGATTCGGATGACTTTTTTTCTTTCGACGACCAATGTTTTACGTACACAGAAATATCGAACTTTCTATTCATCTTACGCAACAACTCCGGTATATCGCACGAAATATTTGGAAGCCGAGAAACCACGGGACGACCGTGGTTTCTCGTAACGAAGCTGCGTGCCGGCACGATTTTCTTCTGCTATCCAAAGAAAGGGTTAAGGTCCCCCGACAATCTCGCTCTTTCGTCGCGTACACGCACCGAAGGATTTCGTTTTGAAACGGCCGCGATACCGGGGAGATCGAGAATACGGGGAAGCACGTTGTGCAACTCCCAAGGAGAGTGAGCGACACGCGTGTCGTGCGTTTCTGCGTGCCCGTGGACGCATATGCGCACGCTCGATGATAATCGACAGAAAGAGAAAGGTCAACGGGGAACGAAGCATCGCTTCCTCTTCCTTGTCACGATTACGCGTAGGTAAGCGGGTATTCGAAATTGCGGAGAGTGACGCAACGCGCAGCTGTACGTACGAATATCTCGTGTACGGACGGAACGACGTATGCATGTACGCGCGTTCGCGTACGCATGGGGTGTGTCAAAATGCTCGGTTAAGATTGGAAAAATTGAACGAATCGTGAGCGCGGAACAAAATCGTACCGTAAGCAGGCTTGGTTTACGGGTAAACCTCGATCGAAAATGCACGCGGACAGACGG